TAAGAGTTTTGCTTTATCTTGTTTCACAATTTGATTTTGAATGAGAACAGTTAGATGTTAAAACTGTCTTCTTACATGGAAAATTGGATGAGACAATTTATATGACTCAACCAAAAGGTTTTGAACAAAAAGGAAAAGAAAACTATGTGTGCCTTTTACAAAAATCACTTTACGGTTTGAAACAAGCCCCAGACAATGGTATATCAAGTTTGATACTTTTATAAAATGACTTGATTTCAATAGAAATGAATATGATCCATATTTTTACTATAATGGTAATTGAGGTCCTAATTCTTATTATATTTTGCTATATGTTGATGATATGTTAGTTGCTGGGTGTGATATGACTGAAATTAACATCATTAAGCAAAAATTAAAACACTAATTTGAAATGAAAGACTTAGGAGAAGCTAAAATGATTCTAGAAATGGAAATTAGAAGGAATATAAGTGTTCATAATCTATTTCTTACTCAACAATCTTATATTTCAAAAATACTATGTAGATTTTCTATGGAAAATTCTAAAGATGTCACTTTATCACTTGGCAGTCACTTTAAATTTTCTGTAGAACAATGTCCTAAAACTGAAACAGAAAAGAATAGGATGGAGAATGTCTCTTATGTAAATTTTGTTGGCTCTGTTATATATATACTGGTCTGTACCAGACCCGATCTTGCTTTTGCTATAAGTATTTTAAGTAGATGTATGAGTAATTCTGTTGAATATCATTGGGAAGCCATGAAATGGTTGTTAAGATACTTAAAAAGAACTTCTAACTTAGGACTCATGTTCAATAAGAGTAAAATTGGAATTAGACTGAAAGGTTTTGTTGATTCAGACTTTGCTGATAACTGTGATAATAGAAAATTAACTTCTACATATGTTTTTACTTTGAATAATACCTATATAAGCTGGAAATCATAGCTGCAAAAAATTGTAGCATTGTCTTCAACAGAGGCTGAATATATTGCAGCTACTGATGCTGTAAATGAATGTATTTGATTGAAAAACTTGTTGGATGAAATTGGTTTTTCTGGTAATAATGCTGTTATATTTTCTGACAGTCAATTTGCTATAAATATTAGTAAAAATCCTATTTTTCGTGATAGAACTAAACATATCGATGTTGAATTTCATTTTATAAGAGATATCTTAGAAAATGAAATTATGAAAATTGAAAAGGTTTCAACAAAATGTAATCTAGCAGACATGGGAACAAAAATACTTCATTTGTATAAATTTAGGGATTGTTTGACTTTCCTAAATGTTATTTTTAACTAGTGTTTTTGCAGGTATATAGAGCAAATGAAACCGAATGAGGAGTTAACCTCCAATCTGCTATAAAACCCAAAATATCAAACAAGATGGAGATTGTTAAATATTGGTTGCTTAACAATTTCGGGCCCAATGATGTAGCCTAAACTGAAAATCCAATTAATGACCCTATGATACAACCTAAATTCTGTTGAGTCCAGCCTATTCTGAATGCAACCCGGTTGGCCCCTTTTCACTTGTGTATTCTCATATTTTAATTGGAGTGCGATTTTGGTTATTTTATTTTGAAGGCTGAGATGGTGCCCTGTGGAATGACTGTGACCGTTGGATGCTTTTGACTATTTGTATTATTGACTTGACTTTTCATTTGCGTCTGGGTTCGAGATTATTCTTAACCTTTTCTTTCTGAAAACCTTTGGTTTTTGCTTTGTAATCTTGGATTCTAGATGTTCTTGGTGAGGTCTAATGTTGACTAAGGTGTGGTTGTTGTGAATCTGTTCTTTGTTTGAGCAGTAACATTTGGTTACTTTGTGTAATGTGTCAAGGGTTTCTTGATAGAAAACTTTTGGATTTGAAGGCATAATCCTTTTGTGAATATTTGTATTGTGAAACTTGTATTGATTATTTGCTGGTTTCTAGTGGATTGGAGCGATAATCACTTCGGTGTATGCTCAACGGGTGATTAGCCCTAATTTTGGGTGAACATCCAGGCCTACAAGCGAAAAATCTCTTGTGTTCTTTAATTTTTGCAATTACTTAGTTTTCTGGGTGCCTGTATAATACCAACAATTGTCCAATCTTGAAAAGTGTGATCAAGCTTTGGTTTGCTTGATAAATCATATGGCTACTTGAGTGAATTTCTGCCTAATTGAGGCCCTGTTTGGTACACCTTATTTTTTTCATAATCATTCTACTACTCATTTTCAATCACACAATTTTCTA